ATCCAATACTGGCTGTATCCCTGAACACACGAAGACTTACCTACCTCTGCCTACCAAGTGCTGGGATTACAAGCGTACTCCACCACTGCCCTGCTTTCCTATGGCTTGCTATTAGCTTTGACCCCCGGGCAACTTTATTTATTAACATACAAATAACACTTTAATACAAATAAAATATCACCATAGGAGGCTATGACAGTAACTTCAGAGTGAAGGGGGAGAAGAAAGGAGGGGAAGGGAGGGAGGGAGGGAGGGAGGAGAAGAAGAGAGAGACAGTCTCTGAAGAATCTTGAGCGCCTGGAGGAGCTAGGTCCTGGTTAGGACCATAAATGGGGGTTATTGCTACAGGGAGGTGTGGCCTGGTCTCTGGCTGTGGGATTTGGCCTTGTACAAGTGACTGCTGTCTTTTAGGGGCAGGCCCATGTTCTCACAAAAGTGAGATCAAGATTGCCTGTTTGTTATGTATTACTTTGCCCAGCCAAAGCTTTGTGTTCTGTCTTAAATCAACCTTATTGCTGCTACCTCCGCAAGTCCCTCTTTTGCATTTCTCTCTTTACTCCAAGTTCGTTTGGTAGTTAGCGTGCCTGTCTGTACTGTGATGAGGACGGGCTTGGACAGTCCAGTTCCTTAGAAGCAGTGGAAGGGGGTGAGGAGAAGGAAAAGAAGACCAGGTAGACAGAGACAAAGGCTGGATGGTAGTCTCACACGTAAATCCACAAACATCAAGCCATCGATGGAGGCCAACAGCTAGACCTGCTAAGTGGGATTGTGTGAAATCAGCATGAGGAGGATAAACTATCAAGAAACTAAAAACACATAACACAATCGTCATATTATAGTTGGTGTGCTCGGAGAACAAAGTAAAAAATCAAACCTGAACAAGATCAGAAGGTGAAGTGTGGTGTGCTCGTAGGCTGGTGGTTTTCTTGTTTCAGGGATGATGAGTAGGGAGGGAAATGTCCTTGCAAATGGACATTTCTTATTTCTAATTAATAAAGCTGGGGAACCCTGCAGCTCTTTAGCAGAACTCAAAGGGTCCAGCTCCAATTGAGGAAGTTTCCAGCAGGGTTTTGTCAGGGACTAGAGGTTGTATCAGATCTCCTCTCCCGTTAGTCTTCCCCCAAAGAGGATGTAACAGTGTCTTCCTTTGATTCAGAACTTTCTCTTTTGGTTTTTTTTTTTTTTTTTTTGGTTTTTCGAGACAGGGTTTCTCTGTGTAGCTTTGCACCTTTCCTGGAACTCACTTGGTAGCCCAGGCTGGCCTCGATCTCACAGAGATCCGCCTGGCTCTGCCTCCCGAGTGCTGGGATTAAAGGCGTGCGCCACCACTGCCCGGCTTTTGGGGGATTCTTAAAGGAGGGAGGAGAGAGTGATGAGGCAAAACCAGAGGACAGAGGGGAGGGGCTGTGCGATCTGGAGTCCCCAGAACTCAGTTTCAGTTCCAGCAGTGTTTCCAAGATTTACTTCCTGTTCCTTAATATTTCTTTTCCTCCTCAAGTTTGATAGTTTGCCAAACACTCGAATTTCTTTTTAAGCTAGTAATTTCTTCATTTCTTGGATTGCTTTTAAGTTCCTATTAGACTGTCTATTTTTCATCTTTTGATTGCCTACAATTAGAAATTGCAGTAAGAAATAAATGAATAGACCATTCAGGAGTACCAACTATTCCCCATTGCCCCAAATGCTTGCAGCTTTCCAGTTAGCGTGCTAACTATAAAACATGAAGGCAGCTACTGCTGAGCGTTTTCCCCCAGCACACGCTTCCTCTGCTGAAGTTATGGTTCCATTGTAGTCCCGCCCTCCTCCTTCCCTAAAAATGACAGCCGTTTATGTGAGCTGGTGGCATTGTTTGGATTCTATTTCTGTGCTGCTAACAGGAGTGATTTCCTTGCTGTTGCCCTGAGGTATTTAGTTCCTCCCCTGGTGTACTACAAGTTTTATCTCACAGGTTTGGGATGTCATGAGGCAGCCCCGTATCTAAAAGATTACCCTTAAGTGTGTCTTCTGGGCATACACGGAAGTTTTTTCAGTTTCGGAAGGATGTACGCTGCCTCGGGGCTTCCCTTTGAGGCCATTGAATGTCCTAGGAAGTTCCCCTTGACACATGCACCGTCTAGGACTGGAAAGAACATATGCCTCTTCAGTGGTTCTCTGATGAGTTGCTCAGAGCATTTCTATACTAAGAATAGTCAGGTCCCAGAAAGCAGAAGAGACAAATGCTAGGCTGGAGGAGTGCCAGGAGAAAAGATGGAAAGACGGCGAACAAGGCTGTGACTAGCACTCTGAAATGAGGGCCATTAACAACCAAAGAGGAGGTCCAGGCCACAGGAAGAACGCCTCATTTACCCGAGAAGGCAGTGCAGACCTCTGGGTGCATGGTACTAAGTGCTGACTAGTGAACGACTCTGTGAAAGTAGATAATCCTTTGAGTCACTGAGGGATTGCAGAAACACTCAACGTGAATCACAGCTCTGACTCCAATGGCAATATAATTTATTCTCTATTCTTTACATGAATACAACTGACTAGTTCAGGAACAGAGTTGGGTTATACTGACTAGCACAGTCACCATTAAATTCTTGATAGCTGCAGAATGAACGAAAGTTATAAAACTAATGTATTTAACCAAATATGCTGACGAGCATCTGTGGTGGGTGGGTTACAGTGAAGCAGAGAATCCTTGCCGTAGGTTCAGAGGCTATGTTGACATTCTTTTGGGTCGCTGGAAGTCAGTGGTCTGCTAAGTTATATACCCCGATGGTCAGCAGTGTGTTAGGTCAGGTCACGTATTAAAGTTATTAAAGAAGCCGAGGTCTGAGATAATTTAGACTGTATTTAGAACATACTGAAAGTACACAATCATGAAATTTTGATCTGTTCCTTTTAGAACTCTTCAGCCTGGGTGTGGCATTTCTTCAGGTCACTTCAGTTCATGTAGTTTAAATTTATAGGTAAGCTTTTCAACTGTAAAGAAAAGATGATCTGTACTCAGGAGGCAGAGCCAAGCAGATCTCTGAGCTCAAGGGTAGCCTGGTCTGCATAGCAAGTCCAGGCCAGCAGAGTCTGCAGAGTGAGGCCTTGCCTCAAAAAAACCCCTTTTTTGAAAGAAAAGATAATCTTTTCAGAACTGTCCTTCAAAAAAGTGGAAAAACCACATGCTCATAGTTTGTTGAAACAGTGGAAAACATAAAAGATTGAAGTTTGGTTTTCTGACTTTTTTTTTTAATGGAAGAATGGAATCTTTGGTGAAAGGTAGTGTCAGATGTGGAAATATATGCTTCAGTACTTATGCAAAGTACTGATCTGTGACTGCTAAATACTGAATGGGGGTAGAGTTTGAACTGTTTTAGAGCTGTCTGTAGATTGGTTAAAAAACTAGCATTTCAAAAAGTGAAAACCTGTTTCATGTGTTACCTTGCAGCACACCTCACCCACTGTGGGCAGTGGGAGGCAGGGCGTGGATGCCTGCCTCTGTGGAGATGGTAGCCACACTCCCTCAGCACACCTCACCCACTGTGGGCAGTGGGAGGCAGGGCGTGGATGCCTGCCTCTGTGGAGATGGTAGCCACACTCCCTTGAGCAGTGCATGAGAGAACTACATTTCCCATTTTGAAGTTTGTGTTCTCTGATCTTGATTTCAAACACTTTTTACTTTGTTGTCCTCCACCCCTAAACACTGTTCATGGCTTTGTCTTCCTAACCAGCTTTATGATAGATAATTAGGGACAGATGCCATGAGTTTGGTCTTCTGAGATGAGTGATATATATAAACCATGCATGTGACATAAATATTCTGCCTGTCTGTCGTCTCTCAACACTCAGTATTCTGAAGAGTGCTGGGCAGTGCAGTAGGCTGTAACTCCAGCTGCCATGTTGAACACCGTGTTCTACAGTGTGCTCAGGTGCAGGGGCCGTGGGCATACTATACCAAATTACATGATGTGTTCCATGCTTTATCACTAAACATGCTTGGAGAGTTAGGTGGTTTGCTCACCTGTCCATGTATGTTAGATGAGGCTAATCCGTGATGTCTGCTAGATTTGATGTATTGTGTGCATTCCTTTGGGTTGGTTGGTACCTTATCCCATCTCTAAGTCTCAGAGCATCTATACTGGGGGAAATCTCCGTAAGTCCATAAAGTGCCATGTTTTACTGACATTCCTCTCCCCATTTTGAATTGCGATTGACGTCATTGCCATCCTGTGACTGTGTGGTTTTACTTTAGTACCATAGATGATTTTTGCAGTATGCATTTTAATATGTTTTTATATTTTAAATGAACACTTTAATTTTACGTCCCTACAAGGAGTATCGTGTGTATGTGTCATAAACAGATATTTAGAAGGTACTTTGAGAGCTTTTCATTTCTAAATTTTATATGTATGTATGGTTTGGCTGCTTGTATGTCTGTGCACGACTTAAGTTACTGGTGCCCACAGAGACCAGCACAGGGCATCAGATCTAAAACTGGAGTTACAGATGGTTGTGAACTCCTATGTGGGTACTGGTGATTGAACCTGGGTCCTCTGATAGTGCTAGCAGGCAGTGCTCTTAAGTACTGGGCCATCTCTCTACCCTCTACTTTTCTCTAGAAGTACTGAAAGCCGAGGTTTGATGAGAGATGTGAAAGCTATATTGTAGTTGCTCATACTTGGAACCTGAAAGAATATTCAGGAAGCCTACATAAACTCCCTGGAAGGAAACTGGATGATGCTGGGTAAAATGGGTGGGAAACTTTGGAATTTTTAATCATGAGGTATTAGTCATAAATTATACTTTAAAAATGAAAATAAAGGTACCATGGTACAGAGCAGGAACTGATTCTGCCTATATCACAGACCTCCATGGTCAGTTTGGTAAAGTATTGTCACCCTGGGGTTATGGCAGGAGCAAACAGAAATGTAACCAAGTGAAAATGTTTCTATTTACTTAGAAGCAATTTGTAGCTTCTTATATCATATTGGAAGTTAAAATCTTGCTGCTTTTTGGTTTCCTTTTAGTTGATGCTGATGAAATTAAAAGGCTAGGAAAGAGATTCAAGAAGCTTGATTTGGACAATTCTGGTTCTTTGAGCGTGGAGGAGTTCATGTCTCTGCCTGAGTTACAACAGAACCCTTTAGTACAGCGGGTAATAGACATATTTGACACAGACGGGAATGGAGAGGTAGACTTCAAAGGTAAGGAACGGCATTTTGTGTTTTAAAGTTAGCCTTAGTGCACCCTACATAAGAATGAAACTAGATTTTTTTTTTAAGTGTCTCTATTTTGGGTGATTTTATAATTAAAAGTTTATGCTAAAACTAATCTGTTAAAGGTATAATTTTTGCTTCCTAAGTTATCAAGGTATCTCTTAGAGTGTAATCTACCACAGTAAGGGGCTACCACAGACTAGTTCCTCTGTTTTAAGAAAATCATTCTCACTCAATGATGGCTTCACAATATTAAAAGCTGTATTTGTCTTTTTCCTTACTTTTTTTTTTTTTTTAAGAGTGAGGCCTGTACTGGTCAGTTTCGGTAGCCCGTACCTGCCTTATTTCAGCCTAACACCAAGGACTCTTTTGTGCAAATATTGATTGACTGTCGTATCATTTTACATTTGATCTTATACTTTTTTTTTTTTTTTAAAGATTTTATTTATTTATTATGTATACAGAAGAGGGCGCCAGATCTCATTACAGGTGGTTGTGAGCCACCATGTGGTTGCTGGGAATTGAACTCAGGACCTCTGGAAGAGCAGTCAGTGCTCTTAACCTCTGAGCCATCTCTCCAGCCCCCTGATCTTATACTTTTAAACACACATTTAACTAGAATTGTCACTGTTCTTGTTTTGTTTATGAATTATTGTTTTCCAGATAGTAAGTAAATTATTTTTCTAGAACTTTTCAACAGTGTATTTACATGTTTAGAATAGAAACCTAATCGCTTTTTGTTTTGCTAGAACAATGTATAGTCTTTTTCTTGTCATAGTCTAAAGAAAACTGGTTAAATAAATATCCTTAAAGAGTGTTTTTGAATATTAACTGCTTACAGGCCTTAACACTTAATTCATATTGATTAATCTTGAAAATGCAAAATTACATGTTCAAATAAATAAAATGAAATCTCCTTGTGTTTGGAGACTTTAAAAATGACATTATTGATGTTCGGCACTAAGGTTTCTCTGTTCAGCACTGCTTTTAATATTTTGCAAAAGAAGTAACCCTTTGAATATTGCTATTCTTTATAAAAATTTAAAGTTGTGATTTGTAAACATTTTCAACTTTTATTTAGAATTCATTGAAGGAGTCTCTCAGTTCAGTGTCAAAGGCGACAAGGAACAGAAGTTGAGGTGTAAGTATTTTCCCTGAAACCACCACTCCGTGTTGTGTTTTAGACTTCTACAACATTTTGAGACTTACTTCGTAGTCATAGAAGTTTTACATTCTCAAGAAAAACACTTGCGATGTTTGCAGCTAGTATATTTGAATAATGAGCTGTTTTTAGTCATACAGCTAGAGAGCAGATGTTTCTGAGGACAGGCATATCACATGTCATAAGTTGTATCACTTATTTTGCCTGGGTTGTCTACACTCAGAGCTTAACCTTCTAATCAGTTAATGTTAAGTCCAACTGTGTATGTAGTGTCTTTGTTTTCAAAAGTGCCATCCTCGTAGTCAACTCTTGGTAATACCGCTTTTCATCTGAAGTATTGTGTTTGCCATAAAAGCGCACTGATTTCCCCCTCTCTTTTTTTAGTTGCTTTCCGTATCTACGACATGGATAAAGATGGCTTTATTTCCAATGGGGAACTCTTCCAGGTGTTGAAGATGATGGTGGGGAACAATCTGAAAGATACACAGTTACAGCAGATTGTAGACAAAACCATAATAAATGCAGATAAGGACGGAGATGGAAGAATATCCTTTGAGGAATTCTGTGCTGTAAGTGAAAAGGCTGATTCTTCTATTAAGTGTGTTTTAAAACATTTTAAGGATAGTTTACTAGACAATTTTGTAAGCATATTTTTATTTGAAATTCTGTTTTGTCCAGTTGCCTCACATTCAAGTTTTGGAATATGCTGTTTTAACTGCTGATAATTAAGAGATACTATTCTCAAGAATTAGTATACATACATAGTCTGATAAAATGCTACAGAAATTGTAGTGGTGTGATTGGGGGTGGGTGTGAATAGATGGAGGTCAGCACCAAATGTCTGCCTCATATGCTGTCCTTACGTTTTCAACTCTTCTCCCACTGAACCTGAAGCTCACTGTTTCTGCTAGACCAGCTGGCCAGCAAGTCCCGGGATCTCCTGTCTGTCTCCCCAGTGCTGGATCTGCTAGACCAGCTGGCCAGCAAGCCCAAGGGATCTCCTGTCTGTCTCCCCAGTGCTGGATCTGCTAGACCAGCTGGCCAGCAAGCCCAGGATCTCCTGTCTGTCTCCCCAGTGCTGGTTCTGCTAGACCAGCTGGCCACCATCCCTGTGATCTCCTGTCTGTCTCCCCAGTGCTGGATCTGCTAAACCAGCTGGCCAGCAAGCCCGGGATCTCCTGTCTGTCTCCCCAGTGCTGGATCTGCTAGACCAACTGGCCAGCAAGCCTGGGATCTCCTGTCTGTCTCCCCAGTGCTGGCATCACAAATGCATACCACCAGCCAGGCAGTGGTGGCGCACACCTTTAATCTCAGTCCTTGGGAGGCAGAGGCAGACAGATCTCTGCATTTGAGGCCAGCCTGGTCTACAGAGTGAGTTCCAGAACAGGCAGGGCAACACAGAGAACTATGTCTTGGACCTGCCACCCCTCTCCAAAAGAATCAAAAAGCAAAACAACAACAACAAAACCCCCACAAGTACATGCCGTCACACCCAGCTTTTTTATGTGGATTCTAACACAGGTCCTCAAGCCTGCATGGCAAGCTGTTTACCAACATAGCATTCTCCTCATGGTACAGTAACTTACTTGCTGATAGCGCCCCCCATCCCCCGTGGGGTATGTTTTTAAGGTTTGTTTAAAAGCAACCCATGGAGTTGAGAATAAAGTTCAGTTGGCGAGCACTTGCCTATCACCTGTAGCCGTAAGTTTCTCCAGTCCTGCCCAGCCCACATTGAATCTCTACCATCTGTGTCCTGCAGCCTGTTGGTCCCAAGTAAACACACAGGCTTATATTATTTACAGACTATATATGACCTATGGGTCAGGCTTCTTGCTAGCTAGCTCTTATAACTTAACTCAGTTCCTTTCTGTTAACCTATGTGTTGTCACGTGGCTGTGGTGTTACCGGTCTGTGGGCATGTTGATGCTCCTTGGGCATCGGGCTAGCATCTCTCTGACTCCACCCTTCTTCCTCTCATCTTCAGTTTGAATGTATCCCCTAACCTTATCCTGCCATGCCATAGGCCCGTGCAGCTTTATTTATCAACCAGTCAGAGCAACACATATTCGTAGTGTACAGAAAGACATCCCACAGCAGTCACCAGTCAAGAAAACGTCCCTCTGTTTTGCCCCTGGGCTGACATTTTCTCAGCTGAGGTCCTCTTCCCTGGATGACTATATAGCTTGTGTCAAATTCATGAAACTAACCAGTACAGTCTGAATGTGATGGAATGTTTTGTCTTAAAGCAAAGTTTCCTAAAAGTGAAAGAGAAGTGCAAGTTTGTCTCAGATTAGTATGTAATGTTTACATATGGACTAACAAGTAACTAGACTAGTCCGCCATGGCCGGGAAGGTAGAGTACTGGTCACACGTCACCAGTTAGGAAGCCGATAATGACGAATGCAGCTTCTGCTCAACTCTTCTCTCCATTTACAGGCTGGCATCGAAGCCAGAGAAGGTCTGCCCACAGTGGGGCTCTTCTCACTGTTAGTGCCATCAGCCTAGAAGCCTGTCTTCCAGGTGATTCTAGACTGTCAGGTTAACAGCACAGCTTCACTGCTTGTCAGCTTGAGACCCAAACACATCATTTTAAAGCCGTAACGTTTCACCCCTTCCCCGTAAGTTCATAACCACTGTTAGGCCTTTATGGGGGGAGTCCTGCATAGAGGCTTTCTCTAAGAAGGAGAGCCCACCATCCTCTTAGAAACTGGAATAGTCTTCTAGCTTGATTCCTGTTGCTCACAAAACACTGACCAAAAGCAGCTTGGGAGGAGAAGTTACGGTTAGTGACTGATGGAAGTAGGTCTGGTTTTAGTTTGTTTTTGTTTTTTGTTTTTTTGTTTTTTTTTTTTTTTCCTGTGATAAAACACCAAACAGTACCAGCTAGGAGAAGAAAGGATTTGTATATCTTACACTTTTACACTAAAGCCCGTCATTAAAGGAATCCAAGGCTCAAGGCAGGAACCTGGAGGCAGGAACTGAAGCAGAGACCTGGAAGAGCACTGTTTCCTGGCTTGTCCCCCAGGGCTTGCTCAGCCTGCTTTCTTATACAGCCAGAACCACTGCTGTGGATGGGGTGGCACTGCTGCTCACAGTGTGCGGGGCCCTCCAGCAGCAATGTCAGTCAAGAAAGTCTGCCAAAGGCCAGTGTGACGGAGGCACATAGCCTCAGTTGAGTTCTTTCTTGGTGTCTTTAGTTTGTATGATGAGCACAAAAGCCAAGGCAGGAACTGAAGCAGAGACTGTGGAGGGCCAATGCTTATTAGCTGGCTTCTGGCTGCCTTTTCAGCTCCCTTTCTTAGACAGCCCAGGGACGGTACTGTCTCTCTGCAGCATACATAGCTGTTCTCGTGAGCCCCCTTCATTCCATCCGTACAGCTCTCCTTGGCAGAACTTCCATGATCCTGGCATCTAACATTCTGGGCTGTCTGTTGAGATCTAGGATTCACCTTCAGCACTTCAGGCAATGATTTCTCAAGGTCTCAGCGGGGACTCAACTTTGCTGTGCTACAGCTCCCCTCAGTCTTGCATCTTTCAAGCCTTCAAAACCACTAACACATAGATGACACCATCCAGTTCTTCTAGCCTGGCCCACTGCCCCAGTTGCATCAGCTTCTGAGTGCTGATTCTGGGGTAACAGTCTTGTGGGTAGACTTCTGAGGAGCGGGGAACTGTTTATTTAAGGTGTGTTGCATTTGTTTATCTCTGTGAAGCTGTTACTGTGCCTGGCTAAAACACCTGATGGTCTAATAAAGAGTTGAATGATCAGTAGCAAGGCAGGAGAAAGGATGGGTGGGGCTGGCAGGCAGAGAGAATAAATAGAAGGAGAAATCTGGTAGGAAAAAAGAAGTAACCAGAGGAGGACGATACAGGGGCCAGCCACCCAGCTACACAGCAAGCCACAGAGTAAGAAACAAAGAAAGGCATACAGGAATAGAGAAAGATAAAAGCCCAGAGGCAAAAGATAGATGGGATAATTTAAGTAAAGCTGGCTAGAAACAAGCCAAGCTAAGGCTGGGCATTTATAATTAAGAATAAGCCTCCTAGTGTGCTTTATTTGGGAGCTGGGTGGTGGGCCCCCCAAAAGAGCAAAAACAACAGGGAACCCCTCAGTTTGGGCTGAGCTCATTTCTTCAACAGCTGCTGTTGTTGTACTCAAATGAAGATACACATAACTGAACATTAACATGTGATAGTCTTCCAGAACCTGCCCTGATACCTACAGTCAGATCCTCCAGGCAGATGGTAGGAAGGAGTAATGGGGGTGGGGGGAACAGGACATCTTAGGAAAGAAATGAGCCTGACCCTGTCACTAAGTTTACTCAGTCAGTAGCCTCATATACACAAAGGCTCAAAGCCTCAAACATGGGAAGAAACCCTCTACTATGGAACACAGAAATTAATACAAACCTGTACAAAGTGTTTGGAATAATGATCACTCAACCCCACAAGAACACAGTTAAGGAGCGAGAAAAACAAAACAAAACAAAAAACCTGCCCTCAGTAATATACAGAATCCTGGAAACAAACAAACAAAAAACCTGGATGATACATAAAAGATTATGGAAATTCTTAGGGGCTATGAAGTGAGTGGTAGAGGTCCCAGAAAGAAAATGGAAAAAATAAGTAATATAAAAACATCATAATCAAAGGTCATACATTTCCTGAAATGATTTAGTAATAGCATACATAGTATGTTAAAACAGTAGAGCATGAAAATCAGTCTGCAGATTAACAAGACCTAGGCTAGTAGGGCAAAGGCATCATTGAGGGCCTTCATATAAAGAATCACAGTCACAGTGACATTGAATTTCTCAGTAGCAGAGTTGGAAACTAGACAGCATTGTTTTGGAGGTAAAAAATATAGATTAAACCTAAAATTCTGTACAGCTGAGTTAAGTTAAACAGTAAAAATAAAGATGTATTCCGGTCCACCTTTCCTCTGAAACTAGAGGATGTTCTGCTGTGATGTAAGTCAGAAAAGAAGGGGTAAAGTGCCTCCCTCACAAGCACGAGGCTTTGCATTCTGATCCCAGTGCTGGAGATGCCGAGACATGCAGATATCTGGAGCTCATGGGAAAGTCAGGATCATATTGTATGCACCATACAATGCAGATGTGCACACCTGCATGTGTTTTACTATGTAGGGGGAGGAGGTATAAAAATTTAACTGGGGTCTCTAGCCCACTCCCCTCCCTTTAATCCAGTTTCTGAAAACAGGTAATGTGTGTTTTTAAGTTTATACTTTCTGGTAAAATGGTGTCCTAGTATCCTTTTTGTTGACTGTGGTAAAAAACACTGGCCCAAAGCAACCAAAAGCTTACAGTTGTAATGCACCATGAAGGGAAATCAGGGCAGGAACTGGTGCAGAAACCATGGAGGAAAACTGCCTACTGTCGTGTTTCCCATGACTTGCTCAACCACCCAGTACCCACCTGCCCAGGGGTGGCTTCATTCACAATGGGCTGGGCCCTCCCACATCAATCATTAGTCAAGAAAGTTCTGCACAGACTGGCCCATAGGCAGTCTGATGGAGGCATTTTCTCAGTTAAGGTTCCTCTTCCCAGATGATTCTAACCTGAGTTAAGCTGACAAAAGTAGCCAGGACAGATGATTTACTTACTAAAAACTTGTCTGTTACAGGTTGTAGGTGGCCTAGATATCCACAAAAAGATGGTGGTAGATGTGTGACTCTTTGAAGAATACCATCCAACACTTTTGCTTTCTTCTCCATCTCTGAAGATCTGCTCAAGACGTCCAGCAATGCTCTCTGTGTATTTAAATGGAAGTATTTTTCTCTGTGAAGCCACATTTTCCAACATGAGCCTCATGAAGCCAACTAAGTGTTATTGAACTCCTACTCTCTCAATAACTCCGTGTAGCACTTTAAGGTTTGAAGGACAGCAACATGAAAAGAGCATATCAGTGTGGTGGAGAAAGGGAAGGGGTTGGCTTTTTAATTTATTTTTCTTCATCTTTTATAACAAGAAAGTATCTATATATACATATGTAAATATTTATATATAGATATATGTAGCTTTCTATATATTTAGTAGGTTGGCTTTAATTTAATATACTTGATTCAGAAACAAAATGTTAGAGTACAAAAGTGCCAAGCAGAACATCAAACATCCTTACTTTTATTTCACACAGTTTTATATGTAGATAGAAGATTGTACAATGCGCCAGGTATTAGGCCAGCTGTTTCCTTTCTGTGCTTTCTCCTTTGAGAGATTGATAAAGCATTTGTTAATGCCCTATTATTTACCTTAACTACATTTTTGTAACGAGTCTGTAACTTTATTTATATCACTGAATATGTTTCCAGGGACCGTGTCTTATTGCTGAGCAGCGTTTAATCCATCTCTGTTGGAGGTCTAGTTCAGTGCTGTTGCCAAGAGTGGGTTCTTGTGTCCAGAGAAGAACTGCATATGCTATGGCTGCTTCAGGCTGATGCTTTATAGTCACTCTCGTTTTTACTAAGTGTCCCTGAGGAAAAATGTAATTAGCAGTTGTGATTTTATAAAGGTCAGGAGTTTTCTGAGGCAGTCATGACTTTTTAAATGTATTATTTAGTGAAGAAAACCCAAAGTAATCATGTAATGGCTTAGAATAAATATCCTTGCTTCATTCTACACAGTTAAGTACTTTGTCATTAAACTATGTATGAACCATGCACTACCCTTCTGCATTTCAAAAAACATATCGGTTAATCTAAAAAACTAGTAATAACTTTAATGAGCACATATTTATGTAAAATCCTGTTTGTGATTAAAATGGGAAAAGTCTTGCTAATCTATATGCATAGGAGAGTAGATTTTGTCCAGATTCATACTTTTAAAATTTCTGTGCAGAAGGCAAGATAGCCCATGATAGATTTTTGTTGTTTTGCCCACATGATTAGTGATGATGACTTCATAAATTTGTGTGACATAAAAGTATGTCATGTTCTACCACTTGACATTGTCCCTTCCCTTTTCTGCAAAGGTACTGTTGGCTGGAAGTAAAACATTCTGGTTAGTTTTATATGACGGTCTTCCCTATAGAGTTTTTCTATTAAAATTGGTTTTATAATCATGAATGGTAAAGGGTGGGTTGAATCAAGGTGAAAGAATATTAAATTGAGCACACCTGCCTGCCACCGCTGTTCCTTCAACTGAGTGCTGCACACCATGGGCTCTGTCTGTGAGAGAAAAATCCCGGTGCTTGGTGTCTTTGCATGACATGGAGTTTTGCATGTAGATCAATTTAAAATGTACCTCTTGTTTACATAATTTGCATAATTTTAAAAGATGATGTTGCCAAACTTTGGAAATGTTAATATTCAAAATGAAAATCTCCACTACATGTAACTACTTTCTTCCTCTGGATCAGTACGTGGCTTACAATCCCAGCCAGTGGTTTGATCTGTTCCAGTGTCAACTGCCATGTGCTCTGCTTCAAGAGGGAACTAGTCTTTTGTGAATTTTTTTGTACATAATTATTTGTTACAAATATTTTAGCAAATGCTTTCTATATCTCTTGCTTGTGCATATCTTGGCTGGCGTTTGGAAAAAAATAGTGCGAACTATTTCCTTACTGGGGAATGAGGGTTTTTCTTTTTTAGTTTGTGTGAGGGAGGTGGGGAGGGCATGGTTTATGTTGAATGTTTAAATTTTCTTCTGCATGATACACGTCATGTTGTGAAATCTTTAGAGAACTTCATACTGTATGAGTAAGAAATAAAATATTTGAAACTTGCTTGGATGTATTCTGTCATCTTTGATGTATTGCTACAGTTGGACGCCCTGTCCATGCTTTAGGGTTTACAGATTTGGTAAATGCCTCGTTGTTTTGAATCATAAGCTATAGGTGAAATGTCTGGAACAAACAGAACAGCCGATGTTACAAAGCCCGTGACTCCCACTTTCTTCCTTGACCACTCACTCACTCCCTGCCCTGGGCCTGTTACAGTGCCTTCAGGGTTTGCTCTCACCTGTATACCAACTCCATACCTGGTTAAGTAATGCCTTCAGTACTTTGTTCACCTGTGTATGTGCCGGCTCAAAGGGGGACTTTTCTGACTGTCTTGTTATAAAGTGTAAATACTCTGGGGTCTCCTTTACCCAGTCTCCTTTCCTTTATTCCCTAGCACCCTCTTTCAAGCATATTGTCTTCCCTGGTTATAGAATAAAAAAACAATGCTTTACCACAGTAGTGGATTGCTTGTTTTGCAGACACTTCTAGTTTTTCAGAATATTGCCTGGGTCACGCATGTTTTAATTTCATTTTTTTATTTTTGTAAGTTCACACTAACCCAGGCTGGTCTTGAATTTTTTTTTAATCTTTCTGCCTCAGCTTGCAGAGTTCTGGGATCATAGATCTGTGTCACTGATCCATGTTACCGTTTTATAAATGTGACTGTTTATAACTTTTTTAAATTTTATTTATTTTATTTTATTTTATAATACCATTCAGTTCTACATATCAGCCACGGGTTCCCCTATTCTCCCCCAGCTCCCCCCCCCCATTCCCACCTCCTTCAGGGCAAATCCTCCCTTGAGGACTGCGACCAACCTGGTAGACTCAAGTCCAGGCAGGTCCAGTCCCTTCCTCCCAGCCTGAGCCAAGTGTCCCTGAACAAGCTCCAGGTTTCAAACAGCCAACTCATGCAATGAGCAACTGCCTAGTTGCCTCCCAAACTGATCAAGCCAATCAGCTGTCTCACCTATTCAGAGGGCCTGATCCAGCTGGGGGCCCCTCAGCCTTTGGTTCATAGTTCATGTGTTTCCATTTATTTGGCTATTTTTTTTTTCAATAATTGAGTAAAACTGAAATTTATTATAAGCCACAGTCATCCTAGGGACCTCCATGATATATATATAGCCTTCATGAAATTTGCAGGCAAATGGATGGAACTAGAAAAAATCATCCTGAGTGAGGTAACCCAAACCCAGAAAAACAGTCATGGTATGTACTCATAAGTGGATTCTAGATATAAAATAAAGAACAATCAGACCACAACCCATAGAACCATGAAGACTGTTTATAACTTTAACAGATGAAATTTTATTTTTGAGACTTTTTTCAGATAGGGTTTCTCTAGGCTGGCCTCGAACACAGATTCACCTGCCTCTGCCTCCCCAGTACTAGGATGGATTAAAAGCCTGGGCTAGCTTACTTCTGAGACTATTGCAGAATTCTTATGTGTTCAGCACTGTAATGAGGTTGAGATACTCATGGCAGGTAAATGATGCCCCTTACCTAAATGAGTTGTGGGATGTTGGGTGTGTTTACACCCAGTACATACATAGTATGTATTCACAGGTTTCAAGATTGTGTGCATTGAATTGTGGGGCTCCTGTAGAGGATCTGAAGAGAAAGAGCCTAAGAAAATGACTTCAGAAATGAAAACTCTTAAAATGGGAGAAAATATTTGCAACCATATAAGAAAAATGGGATTGGTGATCAAACCTGAAGGTCTACATAACAGCAAGAAAACACCTAGTTAAAGTATGGGCAAAGGACTTGAATAGACAGTATAGATACACAAGTGGCCACTAAGTACTGGAAATGATGCTCAATAGCACTGTCATTAAGGAAATGCAATGCAAGTCACAGTGAGATCCACTTTACAAGCATTAGGTTATATTACTGTTCTTCCTCATCCCCCAAAGGAAAGAAAAACAGTATTGGAGAGAATACTGGCCACCTCTTTTGTTACTGGTGAATTCACAGACTCAGTTCAGGTCGCATTACAACAGCTAAAGAATGGAAGCAGTCCAAGTATTCTGGAGATGAACACGTAAACAAGGTATGAACACTACTGAACAGAAAGGAAAATTCTGACACATTCTCTAACATGGATAAACCATGTTAAGTGAAATAGCTCCACTTCTAATGGGATAATAAAATTTCTAGAGACAAATGCAGAATGGTTTTGTCAAGGGCAACAGGAAGAAAGGGATTTATTGTTTAAAAAGTTGTACAGACCTTCAGAAGACAGAACATTGATTGTGATGGCTACATATTAAATAAAGCTACGAAGTTGCATTATCTACAGTTACAATGGTTAAACTGGAAAGCTGTATTTCAAAAAAATTTTTTTATGTGCATTGGTGTTTTGCCATGGGTGTCTGATCTCCTGAAACTGGAGTTATAGACAGGTGGGTGCTGGGAATTGAACCTGGGTCCCCTGGAAGAGCAGTCTGCTCTTAACTACTGAGCCATCTCTCCAGCCCTCGACAGGAATTTTTTAATGTGTAGAATGTTTTAGAATGAAAGGTGTAGACAAGATGGTAGAAAGATTTACTTTCTGGATAGTTCTCAGGATGTACACAAAGAAAGTGGTGTTCAAGGTCATGTCTTGAGATGTTCATCTTTAGTCTTTAAAACTCCCCCACACGCCAGATTCACACTAATGTAGAGCTTCTAAGTCCTGTTGCAACCTTTCCCTTCCTTACCAGGTAACCAATCCAAATGGCTGAGTTCTATGAGTGTTCCTGAAGATTGTGATTTCTTTGGCCAAATAAGCAGTGCTTTCCCAAGACAAGTATTTTGCATATGGCAGGCACTTTGCAGCTTTCAGAATGGCTATCGATGCTTTCAATAATGTAACAGGAAGTGTGTTGCTCCAAACCTGACATGGCTCTTAGAACAGTGCAACTGAATAAATCAGTGAAATATAGTTGAAGTTGTGATAGACACCAAGTATCCTAAAGACCACGCGGTCTTACAGTTAACAGGTGAGTCCAGTAGCAAGGCAGTGCCACAAAATAGGTTTCAGGCTTCAAGAGTTACTCTCTAGCATCGTCTACCTTTGAATGCAGAGTATTGCACTTTAAAAATAAAATCTCAAACTCTCTCAGGCAAAAATTACGTTCTTAACTCTGCCTCAATTCCTTAGAATTAAACCCAAAACACTGTTACCTAGCCATGGATCACTTCAGACACTTGAGAAGGCATTAAATCCACAGACATCATTTCCGAGAAAAGCACATGGTAGCTGTCATCACAATACTGAATCGCTCTCAATGGGCATATAGTGTGTCTGTACTTCCTAAATGCTCTATAGACTCCAGAATAGAGAATTCCTAACACATTCCTCCTTTTAATGAGGTTTGATAATTAATATTAATTATCAAACCTCACCTGTAAGGGGGGGGGCAGGACACTCCAGCAATTTCTTGTTGGCAGACAGTCCATCCAGGTAAAAAGCAGCTTGGATACTTAGCACCTCCCACTGATAAGAGGGAACCCAAGCTCAACAAAAACTACTAAGCAGGGCATGATGACACACTTGTAACCCTGGCACATGGATGTTGAGGCAGCAGACTGTTCCAAATCTGAGGCAAGCTGGGCTACACATTCTGTCTCAAAACCCAAGAGGAACTGGAAAGATGGTTCAGTGGTTGAGAGCACTTGCTGCTCTTCTAGAAGACTGGAGTTTCATTCCCAGCAATCACATCAGGCTTAATAACCATCTCTAATACAGCTCCAGGGGAACACATACACACGTAGCAGGCACAGGCACACACACACACACCCCTATACACATGTTGCAGACAAACATACACAAGTTCACATAAATAAAACTAAAATTTATGCTGGATGTGGTGGGTTATACCTTGCATTCACACTCAGGAGACATAAGCAGGGGTACTTCTGTGGGTTCGAAGCTAGCCAGGGTTACACAGTGAAATGTATCTTCAAACATACACCCTCTTTGTTAGAGCCGGCTCACTGGAGAAGAGCACTTGACCTTTCAGACTTGGCCCAGCAAACAAGGTGACTCACAACTTCGTCTGTTAACTCCAGTTTAGGGATCTGATACCCTATTCTGACTTCTGGGGATACCAGGCACACATATGGTGCACAGACCTAAATGTATAAAACACTCATAAAATAAGTATCAAATTTTTTAAAGTTAAAAAAGTTTTAAAAAGCACTACTTCTTTTAGCTATTGCATGGATTTCCTGATACTCCATCACAATAGTTTGGTCAAGGCCTTGAGAAACAAAAGAATGTAGTATCTAAATCACATGTTTAATGAAGTAGGTTCTAAACAATGTAAGAAATAAGCAAATTCATATACACACATTAGTTACAAGAATATACTGTTTGGAAAACATAGTTTTCTTGGGAAAACTGTTTTACTTTCATTACTTCCTTGAAAAGCAAGTCATTAACCTTGTGATGCAGGCTTTCATTTCATAAATTGCACACAGACGAGCACCTAAGGTTCAATAGCACAGACCAGTGCTATGACCCATCCCTGAAGTAGTCACGGTGCTCAGTACCAAGGATTGTGATTCTCAGGTCTTCTGAGATTTTCATTAAAATTTTCAGAGGAGAAAAATGCTTAGTTATAAATCTGTCTTAAGAAGTCATCTCTAAATGACAAGATTTTAAACTGTGAATCTGCCACATGTGATTAAAGAGAAAAATACAGCAATTTATACTTAATGTGTTAAGTATTAAAAGTATTACATTTTGATATTTAAGTTATCCTAGAAGCAGGAGTGCCAAGTCCGGTTAAACCTTCCCTTTCTGCTTCTGCTCTGGCTGAGACCTGAAAAGGAACCTGAGCTGTAGGCGGCTAGGAAATACTCCCATGGTTTTATGTGAATATCTCAAGGGTCGGAGGGGAATCAGAACCGGTCCGCTGATCTGCTGGCCACAGCTCGGATATTGCCATACACCTTTGATGGAGGATTTCCTGTTTAAGAAAAAAAGCAGCTTATATATACAAATATATTCAAACATAAAGAACTAGAAGACAAATATCTTGCATTCCTAAGATAAATCAGTTGCAAAAACAGTATTTCATAAAGAAGCCAGCCAGCCAGACCTGAACACCAGAGCAACCTCTGAGCAAATTACTATGACTCTCGAACTAGATTAAATTAAATCAAGTGGACAGATGTGTTTAGCAGCCCCCATTTTGTAGAACTTAAAATGTTCTGTTATTTTGGAATGGCTTTTCTGTGTACTTCTTAGGGAAAGCAACAGATTTAATGATATTACTCAATAAACATTTCTTTCCTCTAACAAAAGGCATCTAAGTAAAATATTCCTGTTTTTCCTTCACTAACTCTCTGACTTCTCTTGGTAACTTTAACAATATGAAAGCTGCTTCGTAAAAATGGCTTCAATTCCTCTGTTCCCTAATCAGAGAAAACACCAAAGAAATAAACTGCTATTACCTAGGATGAGGTTGCAAATGGCAGTTCTCGCCATCTTGATGTTCTGGAAAGAGCCAAGAATATGAACTTTCCTGAAAGAAATAAATGAGTTAGGTTAGCCACAAAAGGCATGCCCATACCAAATCCTGTGAAACTAAAAACTCTGAAAATCACAAGAGATCCATATTCTAAACCGAGGGCAGAGGGTGATGGCTGACAACTTAAAGATCTTCTAAAACCACTTCTATGATGAGTGACTTGTGGTACAGGAATTATATATCCTCACAAAAAAATTATCAAAAAGACAAGTAACAACAAATTAAAAATGTCTTTTTCTTGGCAGTTTTTTGCAGCGTTACCAGAATGGCCTTAAACACGAAGTACTCCTCCCATCTGCCTCCTGAGTGCTGAGGTTACGGCATGAGCCACCACTCCCAGATTACTGGTTACAGGCAGCGATGGTGCAGTGTGTAAAGGTACTTGCCACCCAGCCTGACAACCTAAGTCTGATCCCTGAGGCCCACTTGATAGAAGGAGAGGACTAACCCCCACAGGTCATCCGCAACCTACGTTCAGGTGCTATGGCACATGATCCGCTATTCAAACAGGAATTACACAAAACAGAACAAAAAGATTCCTGGTCAATAGTTGCTCTCATCCATTGAGTCCTCCACTGTAACCCTCAAAGGACCTTCCCTCGGTAGAATTATTCCTACTATATACGAGGAAAGGAACTTTAAAGAAATCAGGAGACTTAGGGCTAGGGATGTAGCTCAGAAGCACACACCCCTGTGTGTGAGGCCCTGGATTTCATCCTGAGCAATAAGGATGGGAAAGGATAGAGGACACACATGGAAAGGACACAGAAATCAAGAAAGCTTAGACCATGTAGCTGCTCACTAAATACCCAGAACTCTAACACTGATCCACTAATTACAGCATCTTTCAATTTCAACTTATAAAGCTATGAAAAACTATTTTAGAGGCTTCTATATTTATATATATTAAATGAGATGTTATTTTATACTTGGGGAATATAATGCTGTTTTCTGACTCCAAAGAATATCACATATCAAGTCCAATGCTAGATGCGGGATCCTGACCTTCAAGTTGTTGGCTGGGGTACTATATTCCCCCAAGCGATACAGGCTACTGACAATGTTGTTGGTTACCTACCAGACTTGATCGTAATACGCTACTGCTAAAGACACAGAAAAGTCGAGCTGGTATTACCTGGAGGCTTCCGCTCTATTTGCTAGCTTTCCTAGTGATACACACTGCTATACAAGCTGCCAAGGGAGGAAAGTCACAGGTTCTACTCAGAAGTGAGGTCCACCAGCTTACACTAATGATTAGGGGGTTGCTGTGAGACTGTCTCCCACTAACATCAGAAACGATACTCCTAACGTCTTACCAACATGACCGCCCAATCATGAGCAGAAAACAAGGACACCATCAGTGGACATGCCAACGTAGATGGGGGGAAGCCCAAGAGGCCTCAACCCTATCGAAAGTGCTACAAGTGATAGGAATGCTGAGGTAGGAGACATGGTTCTCCCCAGGAAAGAGCACACCAACTGGTCACCCAATACCTGATGGCCAGCTCTGAACACACACACACAAGTAACATGAAGCTGACTGAACAGCTTATATCTAGGAATACGTATGAATAAACACATATGCAGTCAATAACAATTAATTAAAAAAAGCCGTAAGTTTGAAAAAGTAAAGAAGGATATATGATAGGGTTTGGTGGGAAAGAAATGTAGTTAAATTGCAATCTCAAAAAAAATTTCTAAATGCAACAACAACAACCTATCACCACACTTTAAATCTAATTTAAAATTAATCAAAAGATGTACGAAGTACTTTTACACCAGCGTTAGTCACAATGTCTCCAACATGAAACATCCCAGATGTCCATCAACTGTAAATAGAATGCGACTTGGCTATTAAAAAAAAAAAAAGAGAGAACTACAGTTTCATTCAACAAAACAAGCTCAAAGCGATGTGTTAAATGAATCCACACTGGGCATCCATTTACATGAGCAAAAGCAGTGACAGGAAGCAGACCGGTGGCTGGCTGGGACTAGAGTGGGGTAAAGGGCTGGGAAAGTGATGCAGGGGAGCTCTGATGATGGGCAGTACGGCTGTGGCAGGGCCACAGGACGACGAAGCTGAGCAACTCACTAGACTGACAGTGCCCACAGGTGACGTTTACTGGTGGAAAGTGTGCCAAAAATACCCTTTTTGAGACATTTAAATTTGCAGGTTATAAAGCTAATGACAAACCAGTCACAAGTTCATTAGCAAGTCGGTTCTAGCTTTGGTTTTCTCAACTAACAAAAACTTTTAGGCTAGGTTCAGCTATCTTGAATATTGTTATTTCCATGTCTTTGAAATTACCAGTAGGAAAAAAGCTCAGATTTCAGACTCTTAAGGCTCAATCCATAGAAGAGCAAAATTATGATACTACACTTGGCTTCAAGTAGAGAGCCACCAATACAACAGTTACCCTTAAATATAAAGACTGCCTACATTATAGTCTAAATAATGATGTTCAGAGCAAAATGGTATTAAATGAAATCCTCACCTTCTCTACCAACTGCTATTTGCCAATTTCATAGTCTATCAGCCTGAGACATCTGCCTGTTTAACACCAACATGGGAACAGAACAGCTCTGACCTCAGAGAGGTACTCCCAGCCTCATATCCAGCACTTTCATGGCCATCTTAAAAGGGGTACTCCCAGCTCCACGGCCAGAACCTCATCCTCGCCATAAGCCTGTATCATCTTTTTTCTAGTCACATATGAGTGTCTGACAGTTCTTACTCAACATGTAATAATACCCTCCTATTATGAAAGGTATGTGTAAAATACAGATACATATTCTAAAGGAGAGCCTCACAATGGCGTTTCAAGCACTTGCTATTTGTACTTCCCTTAATGACTTAACGAGATTGGACCAAGAGCCCTGATAAGAGCAAAAGTGGCCCCCAGAGACACAGAACCAGCCAGCTTAGATCAGACCAAGAGCAGCTCCCTGGGACACAGAGCAGCTCCCTGAGACACAGAATCCACCAGCTCCAATTAGACCAAAAGCTAAGACTGGACCCAGAGTGGCCCCCAGGGACACAGACACAGCAAGCACAGATCAGACCAAGAGCAGCTCACTCAGACACAGACACCTCTTGTACCTATTGGAGGAAGAAATGGGCAGACACCAGTGCAAAAATACATACAACAACATAAAGAGCAATATGGCATCATCAGAACCTAGCCTTTCTACAACAGCAAGACGTGAACATCACAATGTATAAGAAGCAGAAGAAAGAGACCTTAAAAATAACTTTATGAAGATTTAATGGATTTTCCCGAGATAAAATTTAAAGCTTCCCTTGTGATAAATCATTTTAATAGTGAGTCTAAGTATTTCTTTTATTCTGAGGGGGGAAAAAAACCCCTACAATTACTGAAATTTCCTTGACTAACTCATCATCCTTTCAAGTTCGGTGACTGTTCATCTAGGACCACATACCTACAAAGACCCAATGGCAAAAACATCAGGTAATGCAACCACGATAAGGCAGTGGTATGGTACTTGACCAGAACACACATGGTCCCAGGTTCAATCCCCAACACCAAAAAGAAAAAGAAATTACAACAAATATAACAGCTATAAGAGCAATTATAAATCGTGAAAATGTTCTCAAGACAAGATACTTACACATCTGCCAAGACAATCCGTGTCCGCGTTACATTCTCTATGGTAAACTTGGTTTTCCCTCCTTTGCCAGCAATGCGCCCTATTGCCCTCGACAGGTGGTCTCCTTTTAGGGGCTTAACTAAAGAAGAAAGACAAGACATCAGGCGGCTAGCTCCTGAGTTGTTCTACTACACAACACTAAATGGACATTGAAGCTACTAGAAAACCAGTCACAACACAATGCAGTCAGAAACACAAAGGCTGACTGTTCACACAGAAGACCACCAAGTGCTCCTCTCACCGTCGGTGATTTCAAAAGACTCTAGGAAGAGGTCATCCAGCCTGATAAGGGCAAGCGCATCCTACAAAACAAAAGTAAACACCATGAAGACCTTTTCAGTAGACACTTGGCAGCAGACATTTCTGTAACAACTAAAATCCAGACTCCACAATGACAAGACTCATTTGGAAAATGACCCATTTACTGAAATGTCCACACTGAGTATTTCGAAGTCCCCTGAGACTACTCACCTCCACCTGAAACCCAAGAACAAAGGCTTTCACAAAGTCGGCTGCTTTTGTCAGGGCAGTGACATCCTTGGTGTCTTTACAAGTCTGAAAAAAAGAGGTACACATATGGAGGGGAAAAAGAAAGCATTCTAAAAAGCACTAGAAATGATATTTTTATTATAATTTCCTTCACCATCAGCTGCTACCCTCCCCCAATATTGTAAGACCCCTTTTGGGTGGGATAAGCATTCTCTTTAATTTGTACAAGAGAACCTTCTGTTCCAAAGCTGGGCAATGTTACACAAACCCGCTCAAGTGACTAACCACACGCTATGACTTGTCAGGTTAGTGGCAACACCGCTAGCATTCTCCAAGGGCTCACACCCATTCTGTCCTCTTTTAAATGTCCAGACAGGTCCTCTTCTCTCCTCCATCAAGGCAGTATTCCCCCGAGTCCTGACCTAACGTTCTGTCTTAGAGGACCATTTATATGCTGTCGTTTCCCAAATCAACAACTCCAGTTCTGACTCCTTGCATGCCTGGTACTGAGGATATCAAGAACAGCTTAAGTAGGAATCCTGTCGGCAAGTAATTACTTGATCTACAGAAACAGCTGTTATTCACAGAACGCCCACCACTGTAAATAATGTGCTTTACACATCTAGCTCTAAGCCTCACCTTGACAACCTTGAATGTTTAGTAATATAAACACTTATCAGACATGAGGGAATTAAGGTACTAAAAATCCAACACAGTCTAATTTCAAAATATTCCTTCCGGTCTCCCACACAAATTCACAATCCATTTGAAGGGACTACACATTTGACAGACTTAAAAGCATACAGGACTGTGTTAACAGGACTTTCACATTTAAAAACAGAACCCAGCAGGGTAAGGGAGCGTACGCCTCTAATCCCAGCACCCTTCAGACCTCTTTCAGTTTCAGGCCAGCCAGGGCTACATGGTGAAACCTAGTCTCAAAAAAAGGAAATAAACAACAAAGCCCCAGACTCTGGTTCCCACCCTATATGTCCCATAAATATCCTAGGATTTTTTCATCTATAAAATTACATGTTGGCATAGAAGGTCTTAAGTGGTCCCTTCTAGCACTAATATTCAATTACTACACTGAGGGCTCTGGCCACGGCACTGAATTTCTTTTTTCTTTTTTTGTTTTTTCGAGACAGAGTTTCTCTGTATAACAGTCCTGGCTGTCCTGGAACTCACTCTGTAGACCAGGCTGGCCTCGAACTCACAGAGTCCCCCTGCCTCTGCCTCCCAAGTGCTGGGATTAAAGGTGTGAGCCACCACCGCCTGGCTGGCACTGAATTTCTTTAACTTCCCTTCCTCATCCTCTGGCATGCGTGGGGGCTGGGGCGGTGGTGTTTCATCTACATCATACCTTAAAGACCGAAAGGCGTGGTTCACCTCAAGCTAACACACTATGCATCTGATATATGGCATCAACACATACTAAGTTACCAACTAATGATCCTGCAACAGACAAGGCAGCCAAGCACAACAGGAATGTATAAATGCATAAATTTCTAAAGAAAGTGTTTGAGCTAGACCCCGAAAGCTGTCTGGAACCGAAGTTGAAAGAGAATGGAGAAACAGTCTCCTCTAGAGAGTAAAGCCACCAAAAGTACCAGCGGGGGTGGGGTGGGGTGGGGTGGGGATGGGGAGGGTGGAGTGGGGATGGAGGGGTGAGGAGAAATGAACACGACTGGGTCTCCTACTTGAAAGCATCTGGCTTTTATCCCTTTGAAATGCTGGGGATTCTAGACTATCAAAATAGAAGCATTGTGACCTGGGAAAATTAGTTTGGCATAGAAGATCTATTGAAGAAAGGAGAGTCTTAATGAAAAAAAAAATTATTTCCTCCAAAAAGAGTATCATTAAAATATACAGCGATATGCCGGGCGGTGGTGGCGCACGCCTTTGATCCCAGCACTGGGGAGACAGAGCGAGGGGGATCTCTGTGAGTTCGAGACCAGCCTGGTCTACAGAGCAAGATCCAGGACAGGCACCAAAACAACAGAGAAACCCTGTCTCGAAAAACAAACAAACAAACAAAAAATATACAGCACTTAAAATGTTAAGTGGGTACCTGAAGTTACCACCTATTAATGTACAATACATCCAAGTACCCTTCTCCAATCTTTCATCAATTCAACCAGCATTATAGAAGGCAGTCACAGGATAGACAGTATTCTGGAGTAATCTCAGGACCAATTTAGGAATGCAATCAATTCCTGTTTTGAATATAGTTTTGAAGGTATCTGGTTAAATTCAAACACTATACTGGAAGCCCGAAGAAAGCCACTTACTAGAATAAGCTCTATGAAGGACGCATTCATTTATTTTCAGTTCTGAAGGAGAAAACTCGGTAGGCTGCTACCCTTCTCCTTACCCTGATTTCGACATTCCTTGACTTCAGGTTAAAGCGTATCTGAAGTCCCAAATGTTCTACTATCGGAGTAAATATCTTCATCCAGTTTTCCTTTAATGGTGTGTATCTGTGAGCAGGGACGGGAATCTTTCTCGTTTCTTCTTTCCCAGTCTGCAACAAAGCACACACACACACACCCATTCAGGAGGTGACTGGAGACTTGCGGGCCGAGACTTAATACCAAAGGGGATCCTTCACCCAGGACGCCCGTCCCCACCCGGTCCCGCCGCGGTCCTCACCAGGAGCCGCTCGCCCGAGAGCGGCGGGAAGACCGGCCTCTTGGCCGGCCGCGCCTCCTCCGTGTCCATGCGGCTGGCGTCTCCGTCCTGTCCCGCCGCGGACGGCTGCTCGGCCTGTCGCTTCTTCGCCCGCCGGCCCCCTCTGTGCGTGACGGGAGTAAAGCCGTCCTCCGTCCCGGCGTTCTGCGTCTCCATCTCGGCCATGATGTTACTCGAAACCCGGTGAGTACAACACCGCGGAGCACGTGCGTGGCGGCACTGCGCAGGCGCCAGCCTCCGCCAATCAACTTGAGGGCGCCGCCCCTTTCCTGGGGCCGGGCCCACGCCGGGGGCCTGAGACGGGATTGGTCCGCGTGTCTGAGTGGCTGTCCTACGATATGCCTGGTTGCTAGTGTCGCCGTACCCCCACGCGCTCGCAGCCGAAGCCTTCTCAGCCTCTAGTGTGTCTATATGACAACGTCGTGGTCGAGGCAGTAAGTCAGCTTGTGCCGTGTGTGGGGAAGCATCTGGTGCGGTCTCAGCAGGCTCATCTGGCATTATCAGAGGCACCCAGGCCCAACTTGCTAGATCGTTCCGGGTAGAGTGCGGCTAGGGAGGGGCAAACTGCCTCTGCGATGTTTGCAGCCTGGTTTCTAGGTTAGTGTTTTGCCTGCACCAGCACCATGACCACCTTCGAGAAGCCTCAGATCATTGTCCACATTCAAAAAGGCCTCAACTACACGGTGTTCGACTGCAAATGGGTGCCCTGCAGTGCCAAGTTCGTGACGATGGGCAACTTCGCCCGGGGCACCGGCGTTATCCAGGTGTACGAGATCCAGCGCGGGGACCTGAAGCTGCTGCGGGAGGTGGGTGCAGGCTTGGACTGCTGTTTGGGCGTGCGAGCGTGTTCTGGGGTCTGCATTACTCCTTGCCACAGCCTTGCTCCAGCAGGACCGGAAAGGAGATTACAGACTGAGGAATACTTGGGACGTAAAAAACTTTGCCATCCCAAAATCTCACTGGGAAACCAGTACTTTCTCTCACTGCTAGCCCCTTCTCCCGCCACCCTCGGTGCAGTCCGTTGTAAGGTTTCTGGGAAGTGAAGTTGAGGTTTCATATTTCCGTTCGAGGACCTTTTAGGCTGTTTGCAGGTGTTGTAATCTGCTAGTACGTATGTGCAATACATGCACGATTCTTGCAAGCAGAGCCAAGGTGGCACCGGGATACCTATAACGAAGTTTCTGGAGACAGCTAAATATCCTCTTCTTTCGAGAAGTATCAGGTGAATGCCTAGTAGTCCCAGGCGTGACCATGACAGTGTCACAAATCTCATGGAGTTTATTGGGGAAGACAGTCAGTTAAATACCAAACCAAGAATACATAAATACATAAATCAAGATGAGTTTTCTAATACACAGTTCTGTGAGAGTAAAAGTAGATTTAGGGTGAGCAGAAACTAAGTAGGGCAAATTCAGAGTGGGTATGAAGTTTCCAGAAGAAACAGCGTGTGGGGAAGCTCTTTGATAGTGGTGGGAGATGGTTTATTATCTTTTAAAAAATAAAAACACGCTGGAAGTGGTGGTGCACACCTTTAACCCCAGCACTTAGAAGGCAGGAGCAGGGGAATCTCAGTTTGAGACCCTGTCTGAACAGCAATCACAAAAGGATCATACACATACCAGAGGGATAAGTAGGGACCTTTGCAAGATCTCTAAGACATTTAACAGATTTGTTCTTCTTATTCCTTTAAGAAGAACAGGACCCCACTCAAGGACTTTTAGGAGGAGGATGCAAGACCAGATTGACAGGTTTTGTAAAAGGCTACCAGTGAGCCAATTACAGAGTAATGAAAACAATTAACATTTCATTTTCTTTCTTTCTTTTTGAGATGGGTGTTCTCTGTGTTACCAGTTGGCCTCAAATTCATCATCCTCATGCCAGCTCCCAGAGTGGGCTGGGATTACAGGCCAAGTGCTGTGGTGCTGAGCTGTGACTAACAGTTTTATAGTTAGCTATAGTTTTAAAAAAATGTTTTGATTTGGGTTGACGAAAACAAATGACCAGTCTCATTGAGGTGTTGAGGGTTGGTAAGAGTTTGCAAAGAGTTTAGAACAGGTAGTGGGTAAATAAACTTGCATGAGAAGGTGTGTGAAGTACTATCTCTTCCCTGAGTTTGCTGAAAGCGTGTTTTCAGGGTTAATTCCTACTCTGTAGCCTGGGCATTCAACTTGGAGAATCAAAACATGGCTGGTTTTCTCCCTTGCCTTGTCTTCTTCATCACTGGACTCACAGTCACCTGTTGCTGTTCCAGTGGCCAGTTCAGGTTATCTGAGAGAGGGAGCCCTTCCTGATCTGCACTCCTATAATACAGACCTTCTGTGCCAGAAATAAACTGACTGTCTTATGTCTCCAGATTGTAAGCTGGACAGCAAGGACCATGTCTTCTAATGTGATTTGTAAGGACCAGCCACTCAGTGTGCATTTATCAAAAGAATGGGGAATAAATGAACTTGGGAGTTTTAAATACTGGCGTAGGTAGGGATCTCGAGTCAGTGTGTGGGTTAAGGACTGTGGACGTGGGAAACATTGGCATAACAGAAACTTTAAAGTGAAATGTTAGGAGCAAATGCCAGTCAACACGCCACCAGAAAGCATCTGTAGACTTGTGTTTTGTTTTCCCAAGAATTATGATACATTTATGCATTTCAGTAATAGTTATTCCAAGTGAAATAGTGTTCTTTTCTAATTTCTGAAGAATTCGAGCAAATTTTCATTTATTTACTTACTAAATGAAAATAGTAAGTGTATATAAGAGAATGTTTAGAAAATATAGGTAGGTCTAAAAAAGAGAGTATAGTATCAGACATGATCTGAACCCTAGGAGTCACAACTGTTTGAATTACCGAGACTCCTGTAGAGCTGCTGTGCCGAAACAGAACCACGGGTATTTGAACATTTCCTCATAAAGAGCAAGAGAAACATTAGAAGCAAATACAATATTGTATTTGTTTGGGGTGCAGCAGAAAAGCATGCAGGTTCAATACATGGCCGGTGGCTCTCCTGCATCCAAGTCCTCTTTGTGTGTTTGGTTGCTAATAATGGCTATGTACAGGTTTTAAAATATCCATGCCTTGTTCCCACCCCTAAAAATGTGAACTTCTGCTGGTTGATTGTAGTGAGTACCAGAGTTAAGAACTGCTGGGTCAGGTAGATTACTTACCTCAATAGGAGGAGATGTACTTCTTTTGTTATGATGGATTACTACAAGACTTGCTCCAAAGCCTGTGCACCCAGGATACATGTAAAAGGAGCAAATTGGCTATTTCCTCTCTTGTGCTTTTCCTTATTGCTAAAGGAATGGGTACAAACAGAGGGCATGAGGCCGGGCAGTTTGCCACTCGTGATTTATCCCAGCACCAGGAGGCACAGGCAGGAGGATCTCTTTAAGTTTGAGACCAGCCTGGTTTATGTAGTGAGTTCCAGAATAGCCAGGGCTACATAGTGAGATCCTGTCTCAAAAAACAAACTCACAAAAATTAAACAAATAAATAAAAACAGAGGATAGGGGACTGGAGAGGTGGCTGGGTGGTTAAGCACACTGGCTTCTCTTCCAGATGACCCAGGTGGCAGCTCACAACTGTGTGTAACTGCAGTTCTAGGGGCTCTGATGCCATCTTCCAGCTTCCTTCAGCACCAGTCAGGCTTCTACTGCACAGACATATGCAGGCAAAGCACCCGTACACATGCACTAAATGAGTAAATGGAGGGCAGGGCCTCCTTCCCTAGTTGAACTGTTTGGTGGGCCACATAACAGTGTCTAGCCGAGTGTCACTTCATCATCCCTGCCTGAGACATCAACTTTCCTAACATACACAAAGGTACCATATGGACAAAGACAGCCCTGAAAAGTGAAACTGGGGTAGTGAAGTTTTGGTGTTCTAGCTCCTGTGCTACTGAATTCACTGCTTATTCATTCGCCTGACTAAACCTTTTAATGTTAATTAAGTAGTGCCAGGATGTGGAGGAGGCAATACTGACAGGCTGCAGTAGACCCGCCCACAGGCAGAACAAAAATAGCTTGCTCTGTGGCAATTATTGATCATGGGCTTCTTTAGTCGTGCTAACATAAACTTCTGGCAAAGAATATAAAAAACTAGGCCAAGTAAACTATCACTGATGGTCATGTTGAATATTTAGCATTATTTATCAATATGTTTACCATATATTTACCAATTTCATATGCTGATTTTTATGTGAAATAATTTTAACGAAATAGATCATTATTTTTAACCAATTAGTATTCTGTCAAAGTTATCACTGAATTCTACTCATCTTTCCGTAGAAAAAAATATTTAACAGTGTTGAAAAGCGTTCTTTTGTGTGCTGTACGAGTCTGTGTGTTTGTGGTATCCCCTCGGTTACTGATTTCTATGAATGTTTGAGAGCAGGGGAAACATGACTCTTTCCAAAGTCCAGCTACAGCAGAGCTCAGCCTCTCTGAGCAAAGGGTTTGGGTTTGAGTCTTGAACAATAAACTGGTAATACCTAAGTTTCTGTTTCTTTCATACAAAAACAGAAACCCTAAGGGAAGCATGATACTATATACTTATCTTGCAAATAAGATAAAATAAAATGTGAAATAAATTGTTCACTTTTCCAGGCCTGGAACTTTTTGTTGTTGTTGTTGTTGACACTTCTATTGACTCAGGCTTGCAGAATGGAGCTGTGTAATAAAATGTTTGTTGGAATCACATGCTGGCCTGGATGGAGGCAGCATTCCTTAGGAGAGAGAGCTCGAAATCTGCCTGGCTCTTGATTATAAATAAGAGATATCACTTCTCACTTTGAAAATGGTATCCCGGGACTGCGTGGATGGCTTAGGTGGTGTTTGTGCAAACATAAGGACCTGAGTTTTAATCTGCAGCGGCCACATAAAAAGCCGGGCACATCTGTACACAAGTAACTCTTGTTCTGTGGAGGACAGGCGGGATCCCTGGGGCGTGCTGTCAGTGAGCTTAGCTCCAGGTTCAGTGAGAGATCCTGTCTCAGGAACAAAGCAGAGTGCTAGAGCATGATGCCTGAAGTCCTTCTGACTTCTGCATGGATGCGCATGCCTGTACACACCACACACATACTATACATACACTACACACGCTGTATACACATATACACACTATAATACTACACATACTACACTCACACTGTACACACATATACACACTATAACACACTACACACATATACTATACACACACACTACACACAGAGTGATATATTTAACAGTTTG